ATAGTAATACAAAGGAACTTTTGCTTGCTTGAAAGTATTCAAAAAATTAAAACAAAATCCCCCCAAAATAGATTTAAAAAATCAAAATAAACCTTTTATTTCATTAACAAGATACTTTTTTACAATCAATCAAAATTTCCTTTGGAAAGTTACAATATCGAGAGACCTAAACATGTTGTGTTTATGTCGTTTTGTTCCAATGAGGTTCGGAAAGATGTTTCATTTCACTCTGGAAACGTGATACCAAGAACAAAACAAGTGTTTAATGTGTTTTCTAAAACGATATAGATGAAAGTATATATATATTTTTCAAGATATATTGTTACCATTCAAAAGATGACCATTAAATTGACGATGTGTTAAATTTTTAGATTTTTCTATGACTGGTTTCAGAGAAACGTGTGTTCAAAAAGTTCTCTATATCGATACCACTCCTTTGTAAATAATTGATAAAACATATTTTAAAACGTTACACGAGTCTGTCCTTTGCACTTTCTGTAGAAAATACATTGAATATCCTTAGCACCTTTTTAAGAAGAAATGTGCAAGGATATTATTGGCTTAAGGAAAGGGAAAAAGTGGAGAGAAATCCAAGATTTATTTGAGTGATTAGAAATACTCTACGTGAAAAACTCAAAAGAATGTTAGGTATTCACAGCCAATCTGACTAAATAGACTAAAATGGTACCGTACGGTACCATGAACACTGTATAGTACGGCACAATACTCCAACGGTATCGTGCGGTACCATATTCTTTATGTACCGTGCGGTACCGTGATTTTACTGTGCGGATCGGGTGTATATACCTAGTTTGTAGGTAACCTCGGTACACGATCTGCAAAGCATTACAATATTATTAAGAGTTTCAACAAACGTGTTATATTGTATTGGCATTGTAATATGACTTAGTTTAGTTTTTAAATATTTTGGGCTCAAATGATTCTTTGTCATGTCTATTTTCTAAATATCCCCACAGTGTATTTGAGGAAAACATTTTTATAAAAATGTGGTAACATATTTTATTGTTTTAGGGAATTTACTCATTTTGGCACTTTGAGTCCTAACTTAATTTATAATATATCGTGGATCTGTTGGGAGATATTATATTTGAGATTGTAAGGGATATATTGGTAGGTCAACTGTACATGTTGCTTGTAATTTTGTATTTTTATGATCTCTACCATTTATATTATTTGGGAGAATTCAAACACTCCCTCCATTTTGCACCTTGAATTCTTAATAATTTCATCAATAACATATCACAGATCTTTTGAGAGATACTATATGAATTGTAATCATAAGGAATGAATTGGTAGGACTTGTACATGTTGCTTTCAACTTTGTCACTACCTGTAGTTACTTAATAAGGGTTGATTGAGATTCAGAGCTATTGGCACCGGACCTTTAAGGTTGAGTTTGGAAAGCGATCAGTCTTCTTCATGCCAAATAGTCCCCTGATTTAAAAAAATATTTTTCATTCTCTGCTCAATAACAAGAATAAAGCTATCTTATCTATATACTATATATTAATTCATACATTTTAGCTTACCTTGGAGGGAGGAATTCACATATAAGTAAACAACCCAATAAAACATATCGTTAGATAAAATAAATTGAGGCAATCAAATACACATTTATCCCCCATCACATCTCTAATATTTCACCTTAGGAGACAACATCTTGATGACAGTCGAATTACAATATTCAAAGTGCTAGCAATAACGAATGTGGAGATGTTTTAAAGGGATATTATATCTTCAGGTCAGTATAATTTTTTTCCTCAATAACTTTCAGTGGACACGTTTGATGATTATCTTTAGGGGCATGTGTCTAACCGCACTAACGCTAACTTACACGCAATAAATCACACAGGCCAAAGCCCAGATTGCAATATTAGAAAAAAAGAAATCGTGGTAATTACTGAATTTCCTCGATTCTAATCTATCATCTGTCTCTCACTACAATAGTTAAAATGCCATGCTAGAATAGGCTCAGAGTGTCATTACGAAACAGTCGTGATTTACATCAAAATAACACTCTTTGATAAAAACGAAAATACCGCCTTTTGTTGGATAAATTTATTGTTTCTTGTAATTCACAGTAATAGCTGCAATTTTACCCAATTAGCAGATTAGCTTCAAATCTAAAAATGTCAGAATAGTAATTATATATCTGTTGGATTTAATTTTCCTTGAAAGTTCATTAAAGGATTTAATCACAAAAACCTAAGAAAAGAATTGAATTTGATAAAATGCACAATAAGATTAAATTATGCTTAAATACGTACATTGTTTCATACAGTAAAACCTTTTTACACAATGGCGATGAAGAGAGAAATTTAATTCAATTATTTTACAAAGGTATATCGTTCCAGACTGAACACAGAAACCTAGACAAAATAAAGCATTAGCTGTTACGCGGTAAATAAGATAAAAATATATGTCATATTCCGCAACGAATATGACATATTCACTTGCGGTGTATGACAGATTCACCTGCGGTATATGACATACAACTAACCAATGAGAACGTGATACGGATTTACGCAATTGTCAATTGCATCGTTTGAACGAACGATTAAAAATTTATAAATTATTACTGAATTTCTGAACAGTACAGTGTATCGAATATATCAACTTACTCACTGCACTCACCAATCTCAAGTAATAAACTTACTCAATCAATCCAGGATTCATATATTAGTACTCAACTCACTAACTATATTAGTAATCCAGAGTAGTTTTACATTTAGAGTTGATTCTCGCATTTAAATCAAGTATTTCTGCATCACGTTTTCGCCTGCGGTATATGTCATATTCACCTGCGGTATATGGCATATTCCGCAAGTGAGTATGACATATTCCGCAGGTGAGTATCGGGTATTCATTGAAATCAATGTATTTCATATTTACTGCGGAATATGGCATACTCCGCAGGTAAGTATGGCATATTCACCCGTATCAAAAATACCGCGCAACCACGAATGTATGCAACATTCTTCGTAACATTAGCATTCAGATAACGCATGGCTACTGTCTTCGAGTTTGTCAGAATGCACTAATGCATACCTAGCCAATATATGTGTGAATATGATTTACTGAATAATATCAACAATACAATATATGTGTGACAGAATGTATAGACCAACAATGATATCATATATGTGTTGATGTAAATGCTCATTACCAACAATAATGTGATATACATATCATGTATGTGTTGCAGTACATGTTCATCAAAAACAATAACATAATATACGTGTCAGGACACCATACGTCTTTAACAATGAAACAATATTGTGTGTGTGTGACATTACATATACGTTATCCTCTTTGATGTAATATGTGAGTGACTGTACATGTACGTTATCCAAGCAATGATACAATATTATAGTACTATGCGTCAATAAATGTACATTACCAACAATGGCATACTATATATGTGGCAGTACACGTATGTCATCATATATACGTCATCAACAGTGACAGAATATCGTGCGTGGCAGTATATACGTCATTAAAATAAAACAATGAACTAATATTATGTGTGTCAGTACCTGTATATTATCAACAATGACATACTATATATGTAGCAGTACATGTACGTTATCATTTATAAGTCATCAACAGTGACATAATACCATGTGTGGAAGTTTGTACGTCATCAAAACAATGAAACAATAGTATGTGTGCGAGTACCTATACATTAACAACAATGACAAAATTAATACCATGTGTGGAAGTTTGTACGTCACTAAAACAATGAAACAATCGTATGTGTGCCAGTGCCTATACATTACCAACAATAACATACTATACCTGTGGCAGTACATGTACGTCATCATATATACGTCATCAACAGTGACAGAATACCGTGTGTGGAAGTATCAATGTCATCAAAACAATGAAGCAATATTGTGTGTGTCAGTACCTGTGCACTACCAACAATGGCATATTATATGTAGCAGTACATTTACATCATCATATATACGTCATCAACGGTGACAGAATACCACGTATGGAGGTATTTACGCCATCAAAAAATGAAACAGTATTTTGTGTGTCAGTACCTGTATATTAGCATTGATATACTATATATGTGGTAGTACATTTACGTCATCATATATACGTCATCAACAGTGACAGAATACCATGTGTTGAGGTATGTACGCCATCAAAACAATGAAACAATATTTTGTGTGTCAGTACCTGTATATTACCAACAATGATATACTATATATGTGGTAGTACATTTACGTCATCATATATACGTCATCAACAGTGACAGAATACCATGTGTTGAGGTATGTACGCCATCAAAACAATGAAACAATATTTTGCGTGTCAGTACCTGTATATTACCACCACTGGTATACTATATATGTGGTAGTACATTTACGTCATCATATATACATTTGTACGTCATCAACAGTGACAGAATACCATGCGTTGAGGTATGTACGCCATCAAAACAATGAAACAGTATTTTGTGTGTCAGTACCTGTATATTACCAACAATGATATACTATATATGTGGTAGTACATTTACGTCATCATATATACGTCATCAACAGTGACAGAATACCATGTGTTGAGGTATGTACGCCATCAAAACAATGAAACAGTATTTTGTGTGTCAGTACCTGTATATTACCAACAATGATATACTATATATGTGGTAGTACATTTACGTCATCATATATACGTCATCAACAGTGACAGAATACCATGTGTTGAGGTATGTACGCCATCAAAACAATGAAACAATATTTTGTGTGTCAGTATCTGTATATTACCAACAATGATATACTATATATGTGGTAGTACATTTACGTCATCATATATACCTCATGAACTGTGACAGAATACCATGTGTTGAGGTATGTACGCCATCAAAACAATGAAACGATATTTTGTGTCTCAGTATCTGTATATTACAAACAATGATATACTACTACTATGTGACAGTCCGTGTACGTCATCATATATACGTCATCAACCATCAACAGTGACAGAATATGACTTGGGACGTATGTTTGTCATAAAAACAATGGAACAATTGTATGTATGTCAGTACCTATACATTACCAACAATGACATACTGCATATGGTAGTCCATGTACGTCATCATGTCATCAACGGTGACAGAATATCGTGTGTGTAAGTACATGTATGCTTCCTCGACAATGAAAATAAAAATATATGAGTTACAGTATATGTATACCACCGAGAATAATACAATAAGACAGATGGGTATGTGTGTGTAGATATACGTCAACAACACAGAATAATGGTATTTATATACGTCTTGCAGTACATGTACATCACGAACAATGATACAATATATGGAAATATCGTCAAAAATATTCAAACACACTTAACTGGCCGTGTACAATATTCTACGTGGGCGGAATTCTTGTCACACGGATTTCACATCATATCCGCCCCTACCAAGTTCGTAATGAACATTCCCCATTTTTATTACTTGACTAAAAAGTATCAACATTTACTCCAATTAAGTGTGATCCAAGTGTGTATTTGTTAAGTAGAAATCTCCCGGCTTATATTCCTGGGCATTGTTCAATAGTCATATTAACCTTTATTATCTAATAAGTGCCCCGGAACGTTTGGTCTGAAGAGTCCCCACTAATCCCACTTAAACAAATGCACACTTAAGAGTATGACAAATGCCAGTCTCTTTAGAAATGAGCAGTTTTGATTTACGACATTTCAACGCAAGGCCAATCAGCTAAATACTACAGCATTCTAGAAAAGACCTTGGATGTGCATCCATGCATATCTTGATTTAACCCCATTATAAAGATGTAGATAAATAAGATGAATAATCTAAGGTACAACCACTCGAATGCTACTTGCATGCTCATATCGTATACCATATTCTGTCCAAGTACTTCAAGAGCTAATGATACTTATAATACATCATTTATAATCATTGAAAGTAGCTTTGTTGTACATCTGCAACTAACAGCATAGTTTTTTTGCTTACGGTTAATTAAGCATGTCCGTAGCAATGTAACATTCTACCACGTAGGTGGTATGTATAACTATTATATTTGTTGCACTATATCCAATTAGCTTAATGTTCCTCTTAATCTAAAATGATAATGCAGTATATGATTGACATTAATATATCATATATGATATCTTCTTTAATACCCAAGCAAAGTGTTAGTTTAAACGATCACAAATCCTTTCTTCCAAAACGACCTTGTTTTTAGACAAAATACTCCAGAGGGTAATTACAATTACGATATTTTTGATGATAGGCATCTCAATGACAACCTTTGGAAATAAATGAATGAATTCATTGCAATGTTTCTCAATTAAAATATCATAATTCAACGGTAATGCATGGCTAATTATAATCTCAGTGCCATTCTTAATCATATCTGTGTGAGTTACGACCTATCGAAACCTCATTGGTATGATTTACATTTCTGTTTTCACAATCTTTCCCCTTCAATGGATCTGTCTGCAATTTTGCGAATATGAAAAAGTTCTAAGTAGGGTACATCTTTGATCATGAATTAATAACTTTCATGAAAAGGTCTTCAAACAGTAAAACTTGCGCTGGAATGTTCCACGATGCTTTGACAAATTTAGCGACTAGTTCGACATATTTAAAATAATTCCCCTTTAGGCCAAGGTTTTTGACAAACATACTGGGCGAAATTGTCAAACTTAATCATGTAATAACAACGAATGAAAGATCGGTCATACCTCTGAGCGTTGTCATTCCGAATTAACTATCATGGCGAAGGTTGATCATACCTGAGTATACGTATGTGTATTGGCAAATCATGCTTAGGCAAGAAAGGACACGCCAAGACACACGAAACTGTCCGTGCAAGCCTGTTCATGCCTAAACAAGTTTGGGCGAATTTGGTCATAGAACAATTCGAATTCCTCCTCGAAATCCAAAGTGAAAGTTTGAGAAACCCTGTCAATCGTAATCGCAATGTTACATGATAGCTTTGTCTTCACGAAAATAGTCTTGATGAGCACGATCATCATACCATGCCTTTGTTTTTGTCAAGCATTAAGAGTGAAAACAACATTCTCATTCCTAAAACCTTTGTTGGCGACTGTTTTGACAACGCGATGCAAATAGACGTCTAGCTTCATCTCGGAAGTTAGTGTTCATGTAAGCATAAATGATAGGATTTGCCACATTATGAGCAAAATACATGTAAAACACGACCTTATTAATATCTATAATGAAAAGGCTCATCATAAAAGCGGGGATGTAGAAGATAAGGAATACAACTACAACAACAAATAACATAATAGCCAGTTTAATGTTGGCTCGCGTATGTCTGTCCATTGGCATACATGATATACAAACTGTTGGTCTATCATCTTCCACACTAAATTGATGAGAAACGGTGTTGTTCACTACCATCGGTAATGCAATAGACACATGCCTCCCATTTGATAAATGTGGTTTATATGTTTTTTCTTTAAGTACCTCACCGGTGCCTTTGCCAGGGCTTGTATTTCTATTTCCACTTAATTTTTTGGATTGATCATCTGGACTCGCATGTGTACTACTAATTTTAGAGTCAATCAATTTTTGTTCTTGTTCATTTTCCGCGGTTATATCGTCACCATTCTTAGTTGTAGTGTCAACCGTTGCTTTAGAACCCTTACGTTTTCCATACGAGGTGCTTTCCAAAGTGCTAGGACGGTTCGCACTATATCGGCTTCGTCGCCGGACAATGAAAACGTAAATCATAATATACATAATAAGGACAACTAATACGGAAGCAAGAAATATAGCTGTATATAGTTTTCTATAGGCTATTCTAACATCTGTCGGTACAATAAGAGATGTAACATTACAATGACCTACGTTATTTAATACCAATTTTCTTTGACCCACATGAGAGCTATTACGTACTTTTCCTGTGCTTGTCAGAAACGACTCAGTGGTTGGTGAAGTATGGTCATGTAGGGAACCATTATACGGCGTTTTGTGAGGTTTGTTGTCCGTAGTGTTTGCATACTCTAAGTGGTAAACGCTTTCACTCAAGACGGGAATAATACTGAGGGCCAGTGACAATACTGCAAGACATCCAGTCACTACTTTAGCTTTGAATGTCGTCATGTACTTCGTAAAAGGCTGACAGATGCACAGATAGCGATCGACAGATATAGCAGCCATGATGAATGCAGAAAACGGAATGTTGGATGTGATCACCATATGGTAAAACTTACAGATAAAGTCAGAATCAGTATTGTATTTCACATATTCCATGTATACAGTAAATGGCATAATGACAACGCATGTAAATAGGTCAGTGACGGCAAGAACCAATATGAAGAAGACTGATGTCAAGTGGTCTTTTCCAGTAGAAAACACCCGGATGACAATAATGTTCCCAGATGTCCCTACAACCGACAAGAAGATCAACATCCCCATCACGACGTACGTCTCAGCAGCCGATCCATCGGACTCTAAGTCCGCATCGTTGAAAGACACATTGAACATTTTGCTGTGTGTTTGTGATCGATGTTTTAAAACAATTTCACACAATGCGGAAACAGCTTTAGTTATCCTGAATATCTTTCTGAATAGGATGTATTCGCATTATAACAATTACCATTTTTATGTCGGAGTTTATGCTAAGAGTCAATGACATCTTGATTGTTATTTAAGTGGCGATTTTTTATTCTTTATTTCGTTGAACAATTCAATCGGAATCGAAAACAACATGAATATGTCTATGTCTCTGTCCGAATGCACTGTAACTGTGATATATTGAACACATAAATATAGTGTATATGCCTCAATGCCTATTATCTGTAATGGAAATTATTTTCTCGGTATTGTAACAATTTCTGTACGGTCGTAGCTTCGATAGTGTGGTGAACATCATCAACTCGACTTCCACATATTGTAATCTAACGACCCAATCATAAGTCACATATCGATCTGAAAGCAAACCAACATCACTTTAGATCGAATAATTTTTGTATTGATAATTCGATTTTGAATGCATCATTTGTCAATGTGATAGTTAATATATTGATTTCGGATCAACCGTGACATCAAAGTCCATGTCGTTCTTGGTTTCATAGGAATCTTCTAATGGATTATGCCAACATTTGCAATTTCTCATTCTAATCTCATGCTCCAAGAAAGATTAATTCAGATTGGATCTCTGTGATGTCGATTTTGCAGAGAAAACACACACTTCAATGACACATGAAAAACACGGATGCAAATATTGTTACGGATGCACTCTTGATCACCTTTATGCATGTGCTAGCACAACCAGCGATACTGGTACACTGCGCCATGTCGGCATCAAATCAACACAGCATTATGCATTGTATTTACACACTTATTAGACATTGTTCGCCTGTCAATCGCATATTATTAGGAGGCAAACTACGCTACAATAGCTTTGACGTAGGTCTATGTTAATTCCAACTATTATATGATTATAAGTCTGGATGTCAGGTGCAAGTTTCAATATTGACACCTTCTATCTCTTTAAAAGAAAAACAATGCTTCGGTTTTGAAGATATCTGTGACGGTGATACTTTTTAGAAAATCAATTTACTCTTCATATTTTCATGGCTGTGTGGAATAAGAGACATTCTTGTATGTTATATCAGTCAATATAAAATGATACCAAAATAATACCATAAGACCATAATGAAATGGCAATATAAATTTTGTTTAACAATGACAAGACTTACATACATCAAATTGAATGATAGTAATTACTTTCTTACCAGATTATGAATGATTCGGTTGTTCTAGAGTTTCTCCAACTTATCTTTTTGTTTAACTACTTCAAAGTCACAAAGACCGGGAAAAAATAAGTGACGTTTATTAAAAGCACTGATAAATTATTCCTTGTTTTTTCTTTTTACTCATTATTAATGTACATATTAACCATGGGCGTTTGAGTAAGTAATTTTTATCAAAAAGTGTGCACATGTGATATGTATTAAGAGTGAGATGAAGACATGATTTTTAGGGGCAGTCATTATTTGTTCATGTAAGTTTTATATTTGTGACTTCCCGCCAACGTTGTTGCAATATGTGACAATGCGTGTTCCGAATAATATGAAGTACATTATATTTAAAATATATGAATATTTTCTCAGTTGGGTATTAACGAAAACATTGATATCAACGACCAAAGTAACTGCGTCGCATACAAAGCATCTTCATTAGTCATGATATTATACAAATATTTAATTCTATTTTCGGTGAATACCTGTGCATCTTTCACAAGTGATATTCCACGAAGCCCGAAGGGCCAGTGGAATATCATCTTGTGAAAGTGTCACAGGTATTCACCGAAAATAGAATTAAATATTTGTTTTATTATATCACTGTCATAACATCTTATATAATTAAATAAGTCATATGTTAACATTGAAATACATTTATATTTCTTCTTTATATTCATTTATATTTCTTCAATATAACAATAAATATCAACTACCAAATTGTATAGTCAATAAATAACAACTCCCAAATTGTAGTATCTTAATTTAAGGTTTCATGTTAACATTATAATTAATTGTAACATTGCAATGGATCAATGAAAATGGAACCATTGTGTTCATACTCATAGTATTGGCCATGTGGGAAACAAGGTTGGGAATGTTTTTCAAATGTCCATTCATGGCCGTTGAATATCATTTGATATTCACCGGAAGTCACGTGACTTCCGTTGAATATCGCTAGTTATTTTTTAGTCACGTGTATGACATGGACCAATAAAAGAGTGAGGAATATGACAGTGATATGATAACTACAGATATATACATGTATAAGATCGGTCCGAAAATAGACCCCTGTGGCACACCACAAATATGCTACGCATTTGGTAAATTTGATGTCACAGTAATCAAATCAGCTGCAATTTGCCAATATCTCCTAAATGTCGTTGAAATACTCAAGAGCTGACACAAAACATTCCATTTTTATTCACTATACAAATCAGAATATTGAACCAATTGTGTCACTTGTTAGTAAGAATTCAAGGCAAAGGAATGAGATTGGCCATGTCTGGTATCTAGACAAGGGCGTTAAAAGACCCGATAATTAACAGTTCGTGTATATATTCTATGTCTCGTGCTGACAATATATTACTCTTATTTCAATTGCAACAATTCCAACCTATTAATGTCACTTTATCCAGTTAAAGTCTCACTTCGAAAAGTTCCGCTTGTTTCTTTCTAAAATTAATTTAGTTGATGTTGGATTGAACGAAACAGTCTATCGATGGATTCACATCTTCATGAACTAACTCCGAATTAGTTATTCCAAATAAGATGATAAACGGCAATGCGTTGTATATCTCCATGTTTTAAAGTATCTGCTGATACATGCATTATAGAACTCAAGAAGAATTGTATTATAGCAGTTGAGACAGTATTCTATCATTTACTAAAAATGTTTTTGATCTGTATTATTTTAAACTATGCAACATCTCAAAGTTTTTCAACAAACTCCGAACGCCTTTTTTGGTTACCAGACTCATTGGATCGATGCTTCTCATCAATTTGAAATTAGCTATGAAAATGGGAGGGTCAAAGAATTTTACACAGATCAATGGTAAGCTAAATATAGCCCTTAGATACAGAGTGGACCAAAATAAGTTTTTGAATGGAGAATTTTTTAATTATTTTGAGTGGGAACACTCAGTACATAAAAAGAGATTTAATGAGTGGGAAAAACTATGTTGTCAAAGCATGTAAAGGGAAGTTGTGATATAGCACGATTAAACCATTGAAAACATCGTCATAACGTAGCGTGCACTTTTTTGCATTATTGTTAATTTCATTACGTATACTTCTCCACTAATGGTCAAATTAAAGCACAAACCTGCTATTTGAAAGTTGTATATGTGTTATATGCAAATTTCATCAATTGATAAAAATCAGTATATTTTGGAGGAATAACTATTTGTTGCTGGTTTATATTACCCCATATTCTAGAAACACTTTATAAATAAAAAGCTGTCATTTTGTAACAATTTTTATGTTTTGGGGATGAAAATAGCGAATTTTTTGCTTTGGAAAAAACACAACGGCAAATTATTCACAGACAAACAAAACTGTGCTTCCCTTTGGGGATGATTCAATAGTTCGATTTCGGATCAAAAACTAAATAATTAAATGGCTTGGAATGGTTTAAAAATGTTTACTTGATGCTTTCTTCGTCAAGAATAGCTGTTAAAGCTACAAATTATGCTAAGATTTATATCAGAAGACTAAGACTATATCAGAAATATATTTTTTAATTCTCAAACCGGAAGTAAAGTAAAAAAAACAATAAAAAAACTATTGAAAGTGTATTGACCATCATGAAATATTTCCGGATGTTCTTTACGATAATACTAAACGCGTTTTCATTCCCTGTGGGGGAGAAATTAGAATCTAATACCAAACGGAGATAAAAATGTTAGGTCTTACATTACTAACAATATCATCTTATTATGATAACGTCTTATCCCATTAATAAAAATGAAATATCCCCATATTGTTTTGACTTACAAACATAATGGTATGTTGTTCATGCGTGTAATGCGAATCTAGACATATTTCAAGGTTGATTAATTCTTGGATAACAACAAAAGAACAATTCCAAGAAGAATTATAGAAGCCATTGACACCTTAATATGTTTCATCCATCCATCTTTATTCTTCCATTCTGCTATTCAAATTTATTTGCCCAAAGCTCGTTTTTATTTGACAGTCCTTATCTTGTTTTTATTTCCTCTTGATAGATGAGAATAGAAACAAAGATCCCATTAATCGCGCTAACTGATGGATGACAATTTACATCACCTTTATCGGGTGAATTTGAGACCTTTATCGGATGAATTTGAGTATTACCATTATTTGGAATGTTGTTAAAAGGTTGATACAAAATCGAAAACATTTTCCATATGTTACCATAATAGTTTCATAAAAAGTTATTTGATTATAATTGATTTATTTAGAAGGGTGGAGACGCATATTGTAACAATTATTCTGATATACAAATATGCATTCTATATACGTATAAGTGTGCGCATGACTTGATCGAACTCAGTATGGGATGCAGACGACGAAGATTCTCTGCGTTTAATAATAGTATCTTTAAGGGAAAAGCTATTAGCAGTTACATGCATGTGTCGTTAAATTGACTTGCGTACAATGATTTGTAGAAACAAAAATAGTTATTTTTCATATAAATTATACAATGATTATGAGTTCAATATTTTGTGTAATAACTAGTAGTCGACTGAAAATCTAATTTGAAACACTCTTACCTATTACTTTATTGTTTCACTGTATAATTTCTTTTGATTTATCTACTACATCCATGTCCTCACATCTGCTTCATTTCATCCAATTATGATCAGATATTGTTGAAGCATCTCCTACATGATCGAAAATAAAAAGCAATATCGAGTTTAGGTCCCAAACCGCTCCATTTTTCTACTAGACTAGGTGTAAAATGTTATCTCCCCAGTGCCTCGAAATACTTCTTACAGCGCCATCGTGAGCAGTAGATCGTCTCCAGAGATTTGGATCAACTGTTTTATTAGCTTCAACCCGTATGTTTCTCGATATAAATCACGTAATAGCATTATATTCCTAATAACGTTAGTATTTGAGCATTTTCCGATTCTGGAAACAGCGACTATTATTGAAGGACTCGAGCGTTCTACGTTCTAAACGAATGTGACTGTTTAGCTCTCTGCTTGGATAATACGTATATCAAGAAGTTGCGCTATATAGTTCCATCTCCTCTACCACAAACGGTGTATTACAAAGTTAGCTACACTGTTTGAGTCAATGAACAGTTTCTCTGCTAATTCTACGTTTCAGGTATCAGCTTCATGTAACCCACTGTTGGATTTTCTAGTGTATCAACATGTGTAATGATCTAATGTAGTTGATACCTATGTCATAT